CTCTCAGACTCCCCTACCTTCAAGAGCCTTAGCCCATGGAATTCTTCCAAGTAGGTCCCTGAAGAGGCCAAAGTTAGCTCTCCTAAAGTCCAATATGGCGGTCCTACTTGTTGATCTGCTTCCACCAGACAGAATCCGGCACTCCCACCATCTCATGGTCACTGCAGCCAAGACTGCCCCCTACTTTCACATCCTCAACCAGTTCATCTTTATTTGTCAGCACAAGGTCCAGTAGTGCTCCTCCTCTTGTTGGCTCCTCCACCACCTGGGCCAAAAAGTTATTGTCGATGTTCTGCAGGAACCTGCTGGACTGTGCGCACCTTGCTGTCTGGTCCTTCCAGCTGACATCAGTTGAAGTCACCCGTGAGAACCAGGGCCTGTGATTGCGAGGCTACTTTTAGCTGTCTGTAGAAGGCCTCGTCTACTTCCTCATCCTGATTGGGTGGTCTATAGTAAACACCCACCACAGTGTCACCCATGCTGGCCTGCCCCTTAATTTTTACCCACAAGCTTTCAACTTGTTCTTCATCTGCTCCCAGGTAGAGTTCTATACATTCCAGTTGCTCCTTTACATAAAGAGCAACTCCACCGCCTCGCCTCATCGTCCTGTCTTTCCCGAAAAGTACATAGCCGTTGATGGCAGCATTCCAGTCGTGCGTGTTGTCCCACCATGTCTCTGTAATGGTGATGAGATCATCGGACACACTTGTTCCCCCATCGGATGCGATTGCCTGAGTGACCTGACTCTGCACCCTAACCCCCGAGTCCTTTAGTTTAAAGCCCGCCGTACCAAGTTGGCCAACCTACTGCCTAGGATTCCCCTGCCTCGCCTAGAGAGGTGGACCCCATCCCTCCCTAACAGGTTGTAGTCATCGAAAAACGCCCCATTGAGGCAAAACGCTCACGACTGCACCAGCCATGTAGCCAGGAGTTGATGTACATTATGCGCCTATTTCTGGCTGCCCCCTTCCCTCGAACTGGTAAAATGGAAGAAAAGATAACCTGGGCCTCAATATTTTTCACTTGTACCCCCAGGGCTCAAAAGTCTAACTTGATTTTACCCATGTTTCTGCTTTCTGTATCGTTTGTGCCTACATGAAATAGTAGTAGTGGATAGTAGTCTGTTCTCCTGACGTGTTGTGGCATCCTCTCGGTCACGTCTTGAACCTTAGCTCCCAGAAGGCAGCATACCTCTCGTCACTGCCTGTCAGGTCGGCAGATGGGTCCCTCTATACCCTTCAACAGAGAGTCACCCACTACAAGCACTAATCGCTTCTTCTTACCGTGTCCACTATGTATTGCTGGTACAGTTTCCCCCTGCAGGGGACTTTGCAGACCTTACTCACATGTGTCCTGAGCTGTTAAGGCTTCATATCTGTTTCTGGTTGAGGTGATGGAAGGTGCAGGCTGATGTGGAGTCCTGCTTTTGTGAGTCACCAGGGTCCAAGGTGCCTCCATCTCGGTGGAGTCTGCCACAGGAGCATGGTTCTGAAACCACCTGTCTATCTCTGCCTCAGCTCCTCTAATACTGCGCAGTTCCTCAAGTACTTTTTTTCCCTAGAGGTTTCCATGAAGACACCCACATTTGTCCGTGCTGCAGCCTACAAGCCACTGCTGTCAACTCCACGTCCTGCGAAACCTACTGCTCCCAAGTAAGTATGAGCCACCCTCAGCAGTGGCCTGGTAGAAGTGTGTGGGTGTAAGAGCCAGGGGAGAGCACTGAGCCCAGCTTGTCGGTGGGTTTGTGCTTTATCAGCTGTAGTGGGGAGTAAGCAGTCCTGAGTCCCCAGTTCATCCACTGCATCAGCAGCTGAATGAAGAGCTATGTCAAGTGAATGTCAGGACTCTCCTGGAGCAGATCGGATCCCTCAAGTCTTTTCAATAAACATTCTTGTAATATTTTCTTGTGCTGAAGGCCAAAACCTTTTCCTAGGAGTTTTTCAGCTGGTAAGCTACCCTGGAGCCATGGACTCCAGTATGGGATGCAGAGGCCCTTGCAGAGAGGGGGGAATTACAGATTATGTTACACTGATCACATGAGCTGATGTATTTGTAATGACTTTAGAAACCTAAAGCTCTTGCCATGTGCTGAGTATAAAATGAAGCTTGCCTGGAGGCAGAAAGTGAACCTGTCCTCTGTGTTACCCAAATTAATTAATGTTTGTCACCCTCTTTGCTAGAAACTTGGTGAAGCCATGTGCTTCATCAGAACCACTAACAGTGGGTCCCAGGGAACAGGAGGAATTTTCTAGCCCATGACTCTAGATTCATGGAATCATAGAATGTTTTGGGTTGGAAGGGACCCCTAGAGGTCATCTAGTCCAACCCCCCCGCAGGAGCAGGGACACCGCTAACTAGATCAGGCTGCTCAGAGCCCCATCCAACCTGGCCTTGAATGTTTCCAGGGATGGGGCCTCCACTACCTCTCTGGGCAACCTGTTCCAGTGTTTCACCACCCTCATTGTAAAGAACTTCTTCCTAGATTTTTGTTTATTGAAGGAATAAACAATAAAACCAAATCCTTGTGCCCTTTACGGCTGTGGACAGAGATGAATGATGCTTACATAAGGTGCCGGATGATTGCTCTAATCACGAATAGTAAAACATTGATAAAATAGAAAAAGGAGTCTTTGATACTGTGCTGAAGTGGAACTGAATGAATGCAGATTTGCTGTGGGATTTTGCACTGAGTCATTTTTTTGTTTTGTTTTGTTTTTTTATATACTTATATGGAATGTCTGAATACTGTTTCTTCTGTAGAGCGTGCTGGTCCACATTGACAAAAGAAAGCCAGGTCTTTGGATGCATGTTCTTTGCAGGAATTTCTGGATGTTAATAGACTGACAGATTTTCAGGGTTTTGAGCTGTGCCAAGAGAACAGACAATTGTAATTACAGGTTCAGAGCCCAGACTACAAGAGGCTGTTGCACAAAACCCGCATGGTTTGTTGGCACTTTCTGCAGTGCGTTGGCCTGTGTGCCTCCTGCGATAGTGATGCTCAGGGTAAAGCCTGGGGAATACTCTAGGTGATGTAGTGGAGTAAGAACCATGTGAGAGCCATGGTTAAAGCATTCTGCTATAAAATAATCTCTTTGTACTTGCACAGTTCTACTGTGATCAGCTGTCCCAGATTAGGGCCACAGAGCTTTTCATTTAGAAACGCCAAAGTCTCGTGCAGTTGCTAAACTTCAGTTTTGCCCTGATCCTGTGAACCAAACATTCATACGTAATCACTCGCAGGCGGGTAGACTGAGGCACGGAAACAGTAACCCAGAGGACTTTGAATAATGACTGGGGCTTTTTTTTCAGTGCTAGACTTGCTTCATCTCTGGGGCTGATCCCTTCCAGCTGCCCCTGAGGTTCTGACAGAGAAACATACAGGTGGGTTGGAGAGAGAATCCAATGGTTCATGCGCTCCGTCTGTGGATGCGGATTTTGCATGCATTAGCCTGAATTCCAGGTCTTTTCTGTTGTTTCCCACTTGTCTGCCGAGCAAATCCTGGTATTTCGCTTCCCTTTTTCGTGTGGCAGTTTTTAGAATGGAAAATGGTAGGAGTTTCCTTTGGGACTTACAGTTTTGTTTAGGGAAAAAAAAAAACCCCAACCAACCAAAGCCCCCCAAAAACTCCACTAAATAAAGCGTTCCTGACAGTGTAAAAGTTGTTGTGGACATCTGCTCTGTGGAAGGAGATTGTGTCAGCAGAGGAGCTTCTGGTGAGTCTTGTTCACGGGCAGAAATTGTTGAGGTGCAGAGGTAGCCTGTGGATGTGCCAAACGCTGTGCATTCCTGGGGAGTGAAACTACAGGGATGCAGGGAAAAACTGCATTTGTGTGTTGGAGAGAGCTGTAGTTTGCTGATTAATCGTTAGGCCAGTGTGCCTATCTCAGAAAACTGGATTACTTCCCGTAATGACATGGGGATTGTTTGCAAACTGTGCTTCATGAGCATGAGGGTTTTGAAGAATTGGGAGGGAGAAAGAATTAGGAGCTTGAGGTAGTTCCTACGCCTTCCAGTTCAGCATAAGGGCCACAAAGATGATGAGGGGACTGGAGCATCTCCCCTACAAGGAAAGGCTGAGGGAGCTGGGCTTGTTTAGCCTGGAGAAGAGAAGGCTGAGAGGGGATCTCATCAACACATACAAATACCTTAAGGGTGGGTGTCATGAGGACGGAGCCAGACTCTTCTCAGTGGTGCCCAGCGCCAGGACAAGGGGCAATGGGCACAAACTGAAGCAGAAGAGGTTCCAGTTGAATGGGAGGAAGAACTTCTTGACTTTGAGGGTGACAGAGCCCTGGCAGAGGCTTCCCAGGGAGGCTGTGGAGTCTCCTTCTCTGGAGCTATTCAAAGCCTGCCTGGACAATGTCCTGTGCACCCTCCTCTGGGTAAGCCTACTTGAGCAGGGGGGTTGGGCTGGGTGATCTTCAGAGGGCCCTTCCAGCCCCTGCCATGCTGGGATTCTGGGATTCTGTAATAAGGTTTGCCCAAACTCACCAAAGCCTGGTGTTCTCTGCCTCTCCCCCGGGTTTGTTCATTTGATGTGTGAATTTTCACTTTCCCTCAAAGGTCTCCCCTGCAGCCGCTGCGGGCTAAGCCAGTTCCAAAGGGCTTGAGAGCACCACAGAGGAAAACACGTGAGCCTGAAGTAGCAAGTAGTTTGATAAAGAGCATATTTAGCCATTACGTGAAAATGTCAGTGTCCAGAGATGCATTTAAAATTGTCGAAAAATGGTAAGCAGCAACAAACTGCTCCTCCTTCCATGCTTTTTAGTCTTTTTGTCATTCTTTTCTCTCCTGAAATAACAAACTTGTCCGGAGTGCTGCTGACAGCCCTCCCTGCTCAGCTTAAAATTATTAAAATGAGGACAGAAATGTGCTGGGTGCTTTTGGCCACTGGGGTGCACTGCGGGGGTATCTGTGACCAGCACAACCTTGCAGGAGCTTCTGGGTTTTGTCCTGAATTGCACCATTCACAACCTGCTCCAGCTAGCAGCACGCTGATAGCCTGAGCACTCTCGGTGAACGGGATGGCTCTGGAGAATGGTCAGTGTGCTGGATAGGGTGAAGCTGTTCCAGCTGTGCAGTGTTGTGTCCAAATCTAGGTTTCTCAGCTGTTTGAATTCATAGACTGTTACTGTAATGAGTGAAACCTGCAGGTTGTTTGAAAAGTGTCACCGTTAAGAGCTAACAGTCTGAATTTTCACTTGGAGTTAACCCCTTTTCAAGCATGGGTGGGAATTTTGGGAAAGGTTCTGGTTGTTGAACAGACAGCTGTTTCACAGCTTGGCTGTGAAGTTCCAGGGAGTCCAGGCTCCCATGCTTTGCTCCGTGGGCTGGAGAGTTTCTCCTCCTGCCGTTTTCCCTGGCAGGCTGTGACCTGCACTGTGGGTGGCTGTAGCGCATCTTGCCCTGTAGAAGTTCACACGCTTCACCGCCTGATTTATCTCCATCCTCCTTCAGCTCTGAGAGGTACTTCAAGCAGCTAAGCAACGATCTGGAAGCTTACAGCCACCACGCAGGGAGGAAGACAGTGGAGATGGCTGACCTGGAAGTCCTCATGAGAAGGTAAAGGGAGGGTGGTTGTTATTAACCTGTAGCAGTGTTTAGTGGTGCTTTGATAGCCCGGTAAGACTGTCCTTGCCAAGGTTTCCACAGACAGGGTGGTATCTTGTGATTTAATCTGCATGATGCCACTTGGCCCAGGGCACGCGTGGACTTGGGTTTTTATGCTCCATGATGAAGGTGGTGGAGGGGCAAGAGGAAACAAGGAGGGCTCGGGAGTGCAGGAGGAATCTGAGGAGCGAGTAGCAAGAGGAGAGTGAAGCAGTTGTGGCTGGGAGATGAGTGGCAGCAGTAGAAAAAGCACAGTAACAGTAAGTGCGAGGCTGGGCTGCACCATTTGCATCCTTGAGTGATCTCTTTGCTAAAAGCGCTCGCAGCTGAAATACCCTGAGCCTTTTCATATGCCCTGCTGTGTGTTTCAATGACTTGCTCTTCCCAAGCGAAACCCTGCTCTTCCCACTGCTGCAAAAGATGATGCACAGGGTTCAGACAGACGGTTCATCTTCAGAGCAGGAAAAGGAGCCTCCAGCCTGGCAGGCCAGGGCTGGCCTCTCCTAACCCCCATGTTCCCCTGAGTGCTGCCTCTTCGAGCCCCCACATCGGACAGTGTGGGTGACTGTTCTCAGAGCCCCTCTGCCACTGCTCTTCCCTGCGGGCTCCCTCAGCTCCCTCATCTCATGACTGAATTTACTTTGTCCTGTGACCGAAACGCAAGGGATTTGTTCTTGGCTTGGGAGCCCTCTGTAGAACTCTTCAGGGCCTGAAACAAATTCATCGCTCCTCGTTTCAGGAGTCACCTGAGGGATTTTGTGGGCACATGGGATTAAAGGCGCTCGCTCTGCATGGGTCTGTGTAGATGGAGCTGGTGCTGTCGCTTACAAATAACCTGTCCTGGTCCGGAGATCGTTGTTTTCCCACTGGATGGGTGTGTGCTGAAATTAGTACGAACAGGAGAGGTGCGGTGGCCCAGTTTGAGGCTTCCCTGCACTTGTTGTTTTACCTTTTTCTGGAAGTCCTTATGCCTTTCCGCTGCCTCCTAACGGGATCCAGAATTGTTGTTGGCTGATGAGTGAGAACAGCATTTCTGTTCCTTCCACAAGGACAGCGTGAATAAATGCTGCTTTTTTTTTTTCTTTCTACAAGATGAGGAGATGCTGATTTTTTTCAGGCCAGGCAGCAAAATGCTGGACTGGAAAACTACCTGGCCTGCATGGGTGGAAAACACCAACCATCTCTCAACTGTGAACATAAAAAAATCTGCTGGGTAATGAGCTGTTTGCTTCCATTACATCATTCTGTGCATGTCTTTAAATGGTAAAATACATCCTGTGGCAGGCAGATTGTGAATTCAAAAAGCAATGAGCTGCTTATATGCTGGAATAGACCAATACGCTGACTCTGGGAAACACGTGGCTCCGTGGGGAGCCAGTATGCACTTCGTCCACCCCCGTGTGTAGGCAAGCCCGGCACCTGCACCGTAGGCAGGACCCAGTGCGTCGCTGGAGACAGTTGCCTGCACACAGAACCCTGTGGCTTTTCTGTTATGAGCATCCGCAGCGTTTCAGCTGTTAAATGCAAAAGTTTTGCTGCAAGAAAACTTCAAAAAGTTTTTTGAAAACTCTTCTCGCTAACAGCTCTGTTTCTTCTCTGCTCTCCTCTTCCCAAACAAAGGCAAGGGCTGGTGACAGACAAGATGCCACTGCACGTGCTGATAGAGCGGTACCTCCCGCTGGAGTACAGGAAGCTCCTGATTCCGGTTGCTGTGAGTGGAAATAAAGTGATCCCCTGAAAATGAGCTGGCTCCTGCGGGTGGGAAGGGGGCTGGCTTGCTGAGGCTGGCTGCAGGTCGCTCGTGGAACTGCTCTGCCACCAGTGGTTTCCCACCAGTAATGAGCAGGGCAATAAAGAGTTGATGTTCTCTTGAGCTGATGGTGCAGGTTGTGCTGGGGCTGTTGTGCCAGCCCACTGGATCCCCCCAGCTATTATTACAAGTAATTTGACTATTCCTGAATGTTTTATGTTACCTTTGAATACTTGTACAGCTCTGATAAATAAAATATTGTATGTATTCTGCGTGATACAACCGCTGCTTATTCCAGGGAGCCAAAAGGCCACTGCATTGTATTGTTCCAAATGTTCCTAATAGACGTGTTGATGCTCTTCGTGCTAACCAGTTGTGTGCTCGAAGGAGAAGAGTACAGACTCCCTCGTGGGAAGAAGCGGACCCTTGTTACAGCTGTGCTATTTTTCTAGAGCAAGGGCTTTCAAACCTGGAATCTTGTCCCCTTCTGCAAGCCTGATCTGCTGTGTTAAGAGTAGATCGTAATCCATCTGTGACCACAGCGCGTTACTGCTGTAGGCTGAGATGGGAAAATGCACTTTATATTTACTTTATATAGAAATCGCATCTCATGGGCAATTAGTAAGCAGTAATTTAAGACCATTTAGAGGGGAAGCTTCCTGGTAGATGAAGGAGGGAGAGAGATTGATTCAGCTGGAGTTAATTGTGTGGGTTGGGTTTACATGGGAAGGTTTGGGGGGAGGGGGTTTGGGGGGGGTGCTGCAGAGCCTGGGGCCTGCCCCAGGTCAGAACCAGCTCCTCAATGGACTCACCGCTGGCTGAAGCTGAGCCCATCAGGGCCCCTGGCGGTGCCTGGGCTGCTGTACTTGAGAAAGGGTAAAACCGCTGCACAGCAGCTGTGGGAGGGGGGAGTAAGGAGAAAAGTGCAAGAGAAACAACCCTGCGGAGACGGAGGCCAGTGAAGGAGGAGATGCTGGAGCAGAGCCAGTGGAGAAGAGCGTAGGGAGGCCAGCTGCCTGCTGTGGCCCAGGTGGTGCCCACCCTGCGGCCCGTGGCAAGGAGGCTGCGCAGGAGTGGGTTGGCTGGGGGGGACCTGGGCTGGAGGAGTTCCTGGAGGACCCTCTCCTATGGGAGGGACCCCACACCAGGGCAGCGTGTGGGGCAAGGGGCAGCAGAGACAAAGTGTTATGGTTTGGCTGAACCCTCCCCCTTCCTCCTGTGTGCTGCTTGGCGGGGAGGAGATGATTGGGCCTGGGGAGGAGGAGGGGTGGGGGAAGATCGTTCTAGTTTTGTCTTTGTTTCTCACTCTCCTAATCTGTTTTTAACTGGCAAAAAATTAATCTTCCTCCAAGTCAAGTCTGGTTTGACCATGCCAGTGAGCGATCTCCCTGTCTTTATCTTGCCTCCCCTGTCCTGTGGAGGAGGGGGGGTGAGAGAGCAGCTGGGTAGGCAACTGGCAGCCACCTGTGGTCAAACCACCCCATTGCAGGTGGTGTAACTGCGCTCAGGGTAAGGCTGCGCTTCCCCCAGTGCTTTCTGCCAGCCCTGGTGCTGTCCTCTTCATGCTCTACATACAGGAACGTATCCAGAAAGTCACCGCGGAGGCAGGTGGTGCCAGGAGCTGCTCCACGAAGCTGGGGACAGCTCCGAGAGCTGCCAGTTGCTCGGCAGAGGTCAGCCCACTCAGGGGGCACGGGTGTGTGCTGGTGTCCTGTGTCCCAATCTGAAGCCACAAGATCCAAGTGGCCGCTCTGTAAGTAACAAGCGTGAGTCAATCCTCTGCGTGTCTGACGCCCCCAGCTGGTTCCCGCTGTTCCGCTCCTGGTGTCAGCCACAGTGACGCTTCGCTTTCTGCCTGTGGCTTCCCTTGTGTTCCTCAAGTAGGGAGACAATCAAGGCGAAACTGTTGTGTACGGTTTTACTCTTTATGGTGAACCTAAGCCATGCCAGGAATGAGGTTGGCCACAGGGGAGGATGTCAGGTGCAAAGGACTGTGACTTTGTAAAACAATTCACAAGCTGGGAAAGGATGATGCCTGGTTTGGGAGGGATGGATGTGGATATAGGATGTTCTGTTGCACATTTTTCTTTCCAGAGCGGCAGTCTGACATGCTAGCGTGGTTTCCTTTTATTCAGCTACTCTCCAATCCTCGAGGTAGGACGCAGTGCTTATTCAGTTTCTGACAAAAACTAAGAGATTTTATTTCCCCCCCCGCCCCAATCCTTCCTATCTCTGTCTTGAACTTGAAAACCTTGGGCCTTTAAATTGATTGATTTGACTTAGACTTGAGTCTTTCGATTAATGAATTTGCAGAGGCCTGTGAAGACGGGATGGCTCGAGGCTGCTGTTTTGCATCCTCCAGCAGGACAGAGCGGGGCTGAGTGCCATCAGCACGTCCCATCGGGGTGAGCCAAAGCTCAGCCCCAGTGTCCCCTCGCCGCAGGCACTTCCGAGGCTCCTGGGGGAGGCCAGCCAGTCTGATGGCTGCACGGGACGCCTGCCACCCTCCAGTTGTTTCTCCCCATCCTAAGCCTGTCCTAAATCCCACCGCAAGTCTGGCTTAAGCTGTGTGTGCAGTGTAATTCCCCCAAACTACAGGCAGTTAACAAGGGCTCCTGGAAATCTAACCCAGCTCTCGGCAGCAACGCTTGCAAGTGAAACAGGTTTTGCACAACACTAAAGGAAGCGGTGACCAATACGGTGACCGTCCCCTTGGCAGGCAGCACTGATACAAAGCTCAGCCATTTTTCAAGTGGTTTTTGGTTTTTTTTAAAAGTAGTTCTGTTAGTACAACGAAGGGGATTTGTTTTGATTTTCAGAAGGAAACATCTTTGGTTTTTTAACAAACATACTGCAAACCTTGTACTCTTTAAGTTACATTTTCTGCCATTATGGGACTGTTCACACGTGTCTTCAAGGCTTTGCATGCCTTTAGAGTTTGAAAATTGTGATCTGAAGTACTAATGAAGTTTCCAACTTTTTTTTCCTCTGTGCTGCTGAAGCACCCTAGGAACCCCCTTTTCCTAAGGAGAAGAGCG